CTTCCCCTCCCCTTTTCCTCCCTTCCCCTTCTTCTCTTCCCCTGCCCTCCCTTTCCTTTCCTCACACAGGCTCTCACTGTACCGTGTAAGCTGGTCTAGAACTCACTGCATAGACTAGGCCAGCTTCTATCACAGTGATCTTCTTGCTTCAGCCTCGAGCGTGTTGTGATTAGAAGTTTGCACCAGCATACTTGCAAGACAGTTTTTTCTTACAATTTCTTTTTTTCCTTAAAACTTACTCTGTAGCTGCAGTACCCTTTATTTCATGTGAAATTCTCTTTTTCAAGTATAACATGTAATTCTTTGTATGGATTTTCTTTAAACTTTTTCCCCACTGAGTAGCAGTTTTTTTTTTTTTTTTCTTTGCAGAATTGGGGATTGCAGCTCAGGCCCTTGCGCTTGCCAGGGAAGCGCTCATTCCATTAGGCCATCTTCCCGGCCCCTTGAGTAGCAGTTTTAAGTTTTTTTTTTTTATTTTTTTTTATTTTTAAATGCAAAAGACTGTGGAATTTACCTCTGAATGCTACTTTCAAATTGTGAGGAGGACTGTTGAGTGGTGCAGTATCTTTAGAAGGCTGCTGGTAAAATGGAGCTTCCCAGGCCTTGCTGTGCCCTGAGAGTTCTGCTCTCTCTGGAGGCTGGAGCACCTTGCTGCTGACCTCAGGACAGTCTCCTGAGACCAAAGCCCTGCACTGGACCCAGTTTTCCTATTTGTTAGAGAATTACGGGTTTTGTCCTTTGTTTTATTTGCTAAATAAATAGTGGGCATGTGTGCTGTGGAGCACAGGCGCAGAGGCAGCCGCACTCTCAGCTCTCTCCTCTCTCACACAGGCTTGTGTAGGCTCTGCTGTCCTGTCGGAAGAGACTGCCGTGGCTTCCTCCCCCCCACCTTACATGGCCTATGCTGCGCCGACCTCTGAGGTATGAGCAGAGCACGTCCAGCTGCCTTTTGTTTTCAGTTTGTTTGTTTTTTTTAGTGGAACCGGGGCTTGAGCTCAGGCCCTTGTGCTTGCCAGGCAAGAGCTTATTCTACTGAGCCATCTCCCTGGCCCCTGCCTTTTGTTTTTAATCTTGAGCTAGTATCAGAGAAATTGGAAATGTGCTCTAACCTTTTTCTTCTTAAAGCCAATAATTCTGTATTATATCTTGCTCTTATGAGATAAAGTTTATTTTGTTCCTATTCAAACTTATTCTTAAGATAGGCCAAGGGGCTGGGGAGATGGCTCAGTGGAATAAGCGCTTCCCTGGCAAGCGGAAGGGCCTGAGTTCAATCCCTGGTTCAGCCAAAAAAACAAAAACAAACAAACAAAAAAAAGAAATAGCAAGATAGGCCTAACAGAACTGGGGGGATGGCTCAGTGGTCTAAAACACCTACTTAGAACAAGCTTAGCAAAACACAGGGACCGCGGTTCAATCCCCCAGCACCACATGCCAGCCAGCCCCGCTCCCAGGTAGGCTGAGCTGGCCACACACACACACATACATATAAATAAAATATTTAAAAAAAAAAAAAAAGATAGGCCTAACAATGAGCTATGTTAATGATATTTTCTTTGGTTAGTGAGATTTTGAGGATTTATAATTTATATATAATGAGTTATTTCAATTCTCTTTTTATCAGAAAAATGCAATTTTAATTATGGTTGAAAAGCCTTAAAATACATGGCAGATGCCTTTGGGTGCCCACTGGTTAGGGTGCCAGTTGTCCAGTGTGGTGTATTTAAGTTTTTGTTGTGTGAGGTGTGCCTATCTCTGAAACCCCCCAAAAAAGATTTCTTTTTTTTTTGTATTTAGTACAGGTTCTACAGGGTCTTACTATGTAGATTGGACTTGTAGTGATCTGCTGGTGTTCAGCCTGCAAGAGCTGGGATTATAGGCACATGCCAGCACACCCAGTCTCAATAACCGTCTCAGCATACCCTAGGGGCAGGTTCTGCACTGCAGACCCTAGGATTGAACCTCCGGCCCCTGATCCACTGAGCTATCTGGCCAGTCCTAAGGATTTTTAATTTTAAAATCATGGCAGATTCCTAAATTGCAAAAGACAGCATAATTTTGTATACTTTCCAGCCATGTTCTCCAGAAAAAATCAAATCAGAAATTGCAATTTTATTTTATCACATTTTAGAGATTTATATTATCACCAACTCAGCCAAAACAGAATTTTTGGGGGCCTGCCTCTCAGCTCAGTTCTTTAAGTGGCTGCTTCAACAAAGCAGTCAGGCTGAGGTTGCTGTGTTTCGATCCCCACAACTCAAGCCAGCCAAACCTGCCCTGAAAGCATTTGGAGCGAAAAAAAAAAAAACAAAAACCAGAATTCTTCACAAAATTTTAACACTGTAACACCCTTTTATAGTCACATACCCTCTTTCCCAACCTGTTAATACCAATATATATGTTCTTCGTTTCTACAACTTCAGTAATATTCCATTATCGTAGAGTATATAATCTTTTAATTTGGTGGTTTCCCTCAGTACAGTGCACGTGCAGTCAGCCCGTGCTGTGTGTATCAGCCGTCTGTTCTGTCTTATTGCCGAGTAGTTGTCTGTGGCATGGAGGCGCCGTGTTCCACTGACCAGTATTCACCTCTAGAGGGACATTTCGTTCATTTCCAGGATTTATAACAGATACCAGTAAGCCTGCTGTGAACACTTGTGTATCGGTTGTTGTGCAGGGGCATGTTTTCACCTCTCTGGGATAAATGCCCAAACATAGATTTCTGCATCATGTATATGGTTAGTCTGTGTTTAGAATTTTCTTTCTTTGTTCTTTTTTTTTTTGGTTGTTTGTTTATTTTGTGATGCCAGGGATTGAACTTTGGGCCTTGTACTTGCCAAGGGGGCACTTATGCCCCTGAACTGTCTCCCCAGCCCTATGTTTAGTTTAAAAAAAAAAAATCTAGCGGACTTCTTATTAGTGGCTCCACTATTTTTAACAGTATCAATCTTTTTTTTCTTATTTGTGTGTGTGTGGCCAGCTCAGCCCACCAGGGGGCGGCCCTGGCTGGCATGTGGTGCTGGGGGATTGAACCACAGTCCCTGTGCTTTGCTAAGCTTGTTCTAAGTAGGTGCTTTAGACCACTGAGCCATCTCACCAGCCCTGGCTCCACTATTTTATTTCCTACCAGTAATGCCTGAGCAGTGCAGTTTCTGTGCATTAAAATAGTCACTTTTCCTAATACTGTAAACTGAGTCTGTAGCCTTGTACATTCAAGCAAGTTTTCTGCCTCTGGATGATAGCGCTAGACCTTTATTTTTCGAACCAGGTATCTTGTCAAGTTGCTCAGACTGTCCTTGAACTTGTGATCCTCCTACCTCAGTCTTCAGGGTAGCTGGGATTACCAATGTTGGCCTCCATACTGGGTCTTTTCACTGCTTCTTTGTTACATTCTGATGAATGTGGTGATACGTCATTCATGGCATTAATTTGTATTGCTCTAACAACTATTGATGTTGAGCATCCTTTAATATGATTATTTGCCATCTTTATTTCCTTTTCAGTGACTCTGTTTTTCACTTTTCCTGTGTTTTTACTTCCATTTATTTTACTACTGAGTTTTAAGAGTTCAGAGATTGGTCTGAAGCTTGTCTTTTCATTGTCTTAGTGAAATCTTCCAGATAATTTGAAAGTTTGATGCATTCCAGTTCATGAGATTTTCCTTTTATGTATAATGCCTTCCCTGTTCTAAATTTCCTAAAATTTTCTTGTGTGTTACCTCCTCCCACCCCCCGTGCCAGGACAGAACTGAGGACCTTGCACTTGCCCTGCAGGCACTTATGCCACTGAGCCATTTCCCTGTGCCCGTGTATTATCTTCTGAAATTTTTATGACTTTAAATTGTTTAAATAAGGTTTGGTTCTATTTCTGAGTTGTCAGTTCCACTCCCTTAATCTCTGTGTTTATTTTCCTCTTAGACCGCAAGATCCTAATTACTATAAGTCCTGAAATAGGGAGACTGATTATCTGCCCAGACCCGTTTGTTCTTCTTTTGCAGAATTGCTTTTGATATTCTTTCCGTATAAATTAAACTTACCTACATCCACTATAAAATCTTACAAAACTTTGGACAGAAATTGTGCTAAACCTGAGGATCATGTTTATTTGGAGTAATCATGTTAAATACTGAAAATATCATCTTCATGTATTGAGTCTCTCAGACTGTGAACAGACTATGATCTACCTCTATTTAGATCTTCTTTGGTTTCTTTCACCAGCATTTTGTAGTTTTCACTGTAATTATTTCATACAGATTTTGATATGTTTAAGTCATGTTTTTTGAGTGGTTCTGTGTGCCATTGTATTTTTAATTTTAGCTTCCCTGTATTTATTGCTAGTACGTATAATTTTTGTATGTTAATCTTACAGTCTCTGTCTCAGTTACTTTTTTCTTGTTCCTGGGACAAATATCTGACACTCAAAAAGAAAGAAGGAAAGGTTCATTTAGCTCACAGTTACTGGAGGTTTCAGTCCATACTTGGCTGGCTCCAAGGTAGAGCTGCACAGGGCAGAGAGCAGCTTTTCATGGCGGTGGCAAAGAGCAGAGAGCACAGCGTGGAGTAGCAGCAGCAGTGACTGCAAAGAGCAAGTCTGTCTCCTTTAAGTTGCGTTCAGTTTGTCTGCCCCGGGCTGGGGTGGCCCTCACACCCATAATCGTGGCAGCACTCACATCCATAATTCCAGTGGGCCCTGAGTCAGTCACAAACTCTGAAAGTCCGCTCCATGATTACAGGAGGCTTTGGCAGGACAGCTAGACACAAATCATAGCAGTCTCGGAATTGGCTAAACACATATTAGTTCTTTTTTTGTAAATTCCTTGGCTGTGTATATAATCATGTTACCTATGTGTAGGGTCAGTTTTATGTCTTCTAATCTGCATTTTTGCCTTCTATTTTCTTCTCTTCCCTTCTGCTTTGATTAGAACATGGATTGCAGTGTTGAACAGCAGTTATGACACAGGACAGTTTTTCCAGTTTCTGATTTTAGAGAGAATGTATTCAGCTTTTAGTGTACACTTTTTCAATATCAGTTTAGTTGTTTAAGTTCAGTAATTAGTAGTAAATTAGTTATACTTCCCCCCAATTAGTTATACTTTTATTGGTATTCATTAAATGTGATATTAGCTGGAGGTTTTTGTAGATATTAAGTGGAAGAAATTCCTTCTTTTGGGTTTTCTGGGAGAATATGTCATGATAAGTGTTAAACTATTACTTTTTATACCTTCTTCCCTCCTTTCCTTCCCCTTTTCTTGTTCTGGGGGTTGAACCCAGGCCTGGAGCATCTAGGCAAGTGCTCTTCCTCAGAGCACTGCATTACTTGATGTGATCATGTGATTTCTATTTTTTTCTTTTAGTCTGTTTACATGGTGGTGGGTTACACTGATTAATTTTCAAATACTCAACCAACCTTGCATTTCGCTAAATAAACTTCACTTGGTCATGGTAGTTTCTTTTTTAATTGAGAAATTCTATTTGGTAATATTTTTGAATGGGATTGTTTCATCCATATTAATGAGCAATGTTGACTTTTTTTGTACTTTGTTTTGTTTGGGGGTTAGTGGCTTTAATAAAATACAAGGTGTGATTGAAATACAGTAAGTCCTTGACTTACTAATGAGTTCCATCCTTGGAGAAATTTTTAGTTAGATTTGTCTGAGTTTGACAGAATGAGTCTTAAACACCTTTGACACAAATATGCAATGTAAGACATTGAAACACCAAGCACACACAAACTGAATAAATTATTTTACTTTTGCAATTGATACCTTAACATGGTAATATGGTACAGTATCAACAACTGGCACAGGGCCCGGAGAGATGGCTCAGTGGAATAAGTGCTTCCCTGGCAAGCACAAAGGCCTGAGTTCAATCCCTGGTTCTGCCAAAAAAAAAACCCAAACAAACAAAAAGCTGGCACTTAGGGAA